AAAAAAATAAATAAAAAAGAGGTCCTAATCAGATTAAAGATTAATGAATATATAACTATATAAAAGAAGCCTAAACTATTAGTTTAAGCCATTAATTGATTTATCCCTACTTCCCTACTTTATAAAAAGGGGAAAGATGTTCTTATGAATAGTGTGAGGACTATTATACCCTTAAAAAAGTTTATTTACCTATTTATCCCCAATTAAAATTTTGATACATTTGACCATTCATATCTTTTTACTCAATGTATGTGGGTTACATTAAAGCACTTTTGAGCCCACAACCATCTCTAAAAAAGGGTGTTTTTAAAAATAAATTACCACATTCACACTTTCCATTGACTTGTTGGAGACAATTACATAAACCTCTCCATATTTTATTATTTTATTATAAAAAGTGGGAAGATGTTCTTATGAACAGTGTGAAGGCTATTATACCCTTAAAAAAGTTTATTTACCTATTTACCCCAAATTAAAATTTTGATACATTTGACCATTCATATCTTTTTACTCAATGTATGTGGGTTACATTAAAGCACTTTTGAGCCCACAACCATCTCTAAAAAAGGGTGTTTTTGAAAATAAATTACCACATTCACACTTTCCATTGACTTGTTGGAGACAATTACACAAACCTCTCCATATGGCCATAACACTCTTATTGTAGTCATGGAACAATTTAATAGCTTTTATTGCCTTTTTATATAGTAATACATTGGTGAGTTATATTATAATCATTTTTAAAATAAATAATCGTAACACAAACGTGCTTCTACAATAAATATATAAATAATCTCTATTGATCAATCTAATACATGTATAATGCAACAACAATTAAAAGTCTGTAAACTATGATGTTCAAATACATAATTCTCTCACGAAAGGCTAGCTATACCGCGCGCATCGCGCGCATGGGCTCCCCTACTATGAAGTAAGTTTTTAATTATTCCACCATTCTTAATTAGTCATTAAATTAACTTATTTATTCTTATATATTGGCCATAACTGTTTGGCGTGACTTACTTGATCATCAATATTTATAAATAATTGTAAATAAAAGGCTAATGTACTATAATCATAATTGTATATTATGTGGAATTGAAGTTGACAAGTAATTCACCTGGATTTTTTTTTTCACTTAATTAGGAAGCATGTACTATTGTATTTAAAGAGAATAATACTCGTATATGATAAATGACAGGGCAGAAAAAATAGAGAATGAAAAAGCAACGACTTTAATTTAGTTTTGGATCTTTGTAGGAAAAATAATGAAAAATTAAATATTGATCTACCCCATTAAAATAAGGATATTTTAGTAATTCATTCCTTCAATTGACAACTCGTACTTTGTTTGTACTGTTCAAGAATCACATTTTTAAGACTGTAATCTTTTCTTTTTTTTTTAAATAAAAATAAATAAATAAAGAGTGAGCTAGTTTTCATTACAATTATAAGGAGAAACAAGACTGTGCTGTGCCTACAAGCAGGGACCTACCATTATTAGCGGCATCAAAATTTAGGGCACTAACCACCAAATATATTCTAATTAATAATAGTATTAGTATAAGTTTAAGTTAAGGATTAGTTGTAGTCCAATCTCATATTTTCATTTTAGAAATATGTCTTTCATTTAATAGATGCATTGTACTTCATATGCTTACAATTGTACTTGGAGGGTTCTAGTTCCTTTGACAATTGTGGTGATATCATAAATAATTGTGGACCTTGCAGTACCAACATATTATATATAGAGTATACATCTCGATACTGGTAACGATGAATACTTTAACGAATTTATGGATTAATTTGTTTGTGGTGGTATTCTTGATCATATCTAATCTTTTATTAAAAGTTTGTTTGGATAAATCACTTTTATATGGAACTTAAGTTATATATAAAGATGCAGGTTAATTAATAAACGACCTATTAATCAAGCCTTAATTTGAACATTATTGTTTAGATTAAGATATACTCCAACCTGTAGAGTTCATAAAGAAATTCTTGTAATGCTAGTCTTTCATTCAATTGATGTTACATTATTAGATGCTATGGAAATGTCAAAAACAAGAATCATAAAAGTACAAATTGGAACATTATGATTGAAAAATAAAAGGAGAGCCTGTTTTCTAAGGTTACCAAGTTGGCTAAATCACCAATTTACTGTATAAATAAAAATGATCATCCCAACCCGATAACCCACTAACCCAATTCCTCCTCTCTTTTTTTTAAATGGGAGTGTAAAAACAAACATATCATAAATCATGATGATAAAAATACTTGCAATAAAGAAAGTACAAGCTCAAAGAATCTGCCTTTTATTTTATCCTTCCGGTTTCTTTTTGTTGCATTTGTTGGGAGTTCTTGAACCACAATCTTTAGTATGCTCACTACTATTGCTATCATAATCTGTCAAACGCGGGTCTGGGTCGCACCCGCAAACTAAGAGAGAGAGTCCACTTCACAAGTCCAAGGAGGTTCCATCCCAAAACCATATGGCAATAGGAGGAGTAGCCCCTTAGCCTTATAAAGTGTTTAACTCTCTCTTCTTCAACTAATGTGGGACACTTACATGTGGTGACATTTGAGAGGTTTATTCTTCAACACTCCCCCTCACATGTAAGGTCCCTTTTAACTAGCCATTTAAGGTCCCATATCGTGGGCCTGGCTCTGATACCATGTCAAACGCGGGTCTGAGCCGCGCCCGCAAACCAAGAGAGAGAGTCCACTTCACAAGTCCAAGGAGGTTCCATCCCAAAACCATATGGCAATAGGAGGAGTAGCCCCTTAGCCTTATAAAGTGTTTAACTCTCTCTTCTTCAACAAATGTGGGACACTTACATGTGGTGACACTTGAGATGTTTATTCTTCAACATAATCTCATAAAGGGGCAGAAACATCGTATTCGGGGTTTTATTCTATATAAACACTCATTTAGTCACGTAACTGTAAACGTTCTTATGTATTTTGGGAAAATTAAAATGTTCATGAGATTGAATTTTTTTCACCCATCTCTAAGATGGGTCTATCGATCAATCAACCTATGTACAATATTTTAGAATGAACTAGAGCTAAAATTTGAAAATTCCTTTGTTATTCTTCTTACTAGCAAAAGTACAAGCTCTAAAACAGATATTGAATAGCTGAATGATTTAGACATTACACTTCAAACTGTAATATTTACCAAAGTAGGCTGCACTTAGTAAGGAGTAAATTAAAAAGGAGCATTTTCATGATCCATATTAGAACTTAGGATATATAAGTCTTACAAATGTACCTCATTGAAATTTCGAACATAACCAAGATAACATTTTCAATGAACTCTTCTGTTTTTACTCTGTAACAATCTTTTTACAGAATAACTACAAGCATATGATAAAATCATATAAACATAAACATCTGTATCGAATGGCAAGTACACCATGTATGAAGATTATCTAAGTAAGCCTGCTTTATTCATCGTACTGCTTTGATCAAAGTTGAATTTGAACTTCATCTAGACAACACGAGAGACGCTTGCGCTTGTGGGATGATTTGCATCAAACATAACATAATCGTCCAACATACACAAGTTATAACCAAATCTGTATATAGTGTGAGTGAGAATCGATCCCGGATCTCATACATTAAATCGAGAGAATCTATAGCCAGTTGAACATTTCCCCATTCTCAAATAATAAGAGTAATGGCAAATGTATGGGCTGCTTTATCAAAAGTTACATAACACAGTATCAAATTTTGACAATTTAGTGTAAAACTATGATTTACCCATTTGGAAAACAAATAGAATATCCTATAACTATATATGTATAATGAATTGAAATACTATGACTAATTTATATCTTAAGCACAAAATTGAAAATTTTCTCTGTTTTATTTTTTCTTCCAATATAAGGCAATTACATACTCGTATCATCCTTCAAAAAAAAAAAAAAGTACTCATATCATCGTGTTGAATGTTGGTTGCGTCTTTAACAAAATTATAATATTAAAAGACAATCCGCTTCAATGTATTTTGTGCTCATGATATATCGGACTGTGAGCGATGTATAATGATATACGGAATATTTCATATTTCAGCCCATGTTAATTTGGTCTCAAGTTCTTACTCTTTTAGTAGATAAATTCAATACTATAAAGTCCTATACTTTTAGAGAGGAAAGGAGATTTAAACTTATAAACTTGTAGTTATAGACACCCAACATTTGTCACATGAACAAGAAATCATTGACTCATATAACTAATTTAAAGATGATATATCCATGTTAAAGAAGTGTTTAAATTAATTAATGGGAAAATAAAAATACACTTTCCAAACTAAAAAAAGTGTTCGGAATATAAGGAGTGATAAAATTATCTTTTATTTTAAAATTCTATTTTTTCAGATATTTACCAGTTAAAGCATTCGCCATTTAGTCAAAATTGCTATTTTGATATTACACTTAATGAAATCTGTGATGAATTGAATGCTTAAAGCCGATGAATATTCACCTAAATTATTAATTTTAACAATTTAGATTATCAACTAAAGATTAATAAAATAAACATTATAAAACAAAAAAAAAAATCATTATTAAAAGTTAGTTACTTTTTTTTAACTTAATGTTTAAGGCATAAGATTGAATGTTTAATTTTTTTAATCAATTAGATTGTTATTTTTAAAAGAAAAATGGATGGAAAATTATTTGTTATGGACATATTGATTTGATGACACACATTAAAACTATGTTATAACACACATTAAAACTACTTTAAAAATATTTAAAAACTAGCTATATCAAGAGATATCCTTAAATTAATACGAATTATATTTCGATATTAAATACACAAATTATCTTTCATTTTTTTTAATTGAAATTATTTTTACCAAATTATAAATCATTTTTATTGGTTATTAAATATAAGTATTTTTTTCATGTTATTAATTATTTACAAATTTTCAAATTAGTTTTTACTCAATTGACTTATACTGAATTTTAATTAAATAAAGTGAAAAAAATACCTTAATATAGCTCCACCTTTTTTTTAGCAACACTTCTATTTTTACGCTGGCCGGTTCATGTTTTTTATTGTTAATATCTTTAATTAGCAATTTGTAAAAATTAAATTATAAACATTTAATGATAAAATTATATAAATAAATTGAGTTGAATCTAATAAAATTTCACATGACAATATTTATACTTAACTATAAACCGTTAAAGTTAGTCTAAGTAAAACATACGAATAGTGTAAAAGTTAAATTGTTGTAATTATAAAAAAAATGGAGGGAGTCGTTAGGCTTTCAAAGTTTGACCAATATATAGAGGATTGCTCATTTGACAAGTCACTTTCAAAATAATATTTTTTTTTTTGAAAAAGCTTGCTATTCTTACTCGACGGTCAGCTAGTTCAAATGACAGCACAATACAACACATTAGAAAAAAGATAAGAAAAAAAAACACCATAAAATTTCGACAAATACAAACAACAAAAGAAAAAAAAAACCTACAAGCTACAACCTTCGACCTTCCTAGCAGCAACTAAGCAAAATTAAGCATTGATAATAAAATCACATTAACGATTTAAGTGACCTAGCTTTCACAGGCTTACGAATTCTCCTACCACCATTATTTTCATCTTCATCTTCTTCATCATCATCGAAATCGTCTTCGATATAGTCGATTTCATTATCCAAATTACTATCCATCTCAACAATTTTAGTACCAGCATTAGTAATAGTATTACCCTTCATTTTCTTGTTGTCGTCATCATCATCTTTATCGTCTTCACTCATAATATTATGACTAGTTGAGGAAGAACCAGCCGATTCGTCAACTTCATTGATCGTTGTTGTATTGAAATAATTGCTATCATTACCCACATTGTGCTTGTTCCCTCCTCTTCTCTTGCTCCACCTCGGCCCGAACCCGGAATAATAGTAAAACTCATACGGGTTGCTATTGCTACTAACACTATTATTATTCGCGGGCTTTGTGGTTGCCGGGGTGATTACCGTTGGTGTCGTAGGTGTTGTTGCGGGTGTGGTGGGCTTCTTGGGCCGTCCCCGCTTCTTTGGAGGAGTGGGGATTGGCGGAAGTGCCACCTTAAGCGGTGGCGGCTTGAGTTGGTGATGGATATGTTGCCACCCTTTGTTCCTTCCATTGCCAACACCAATTTGTTGTTGTTGTTGTTCATCTTTAACAAATTCTCTCTCCTCGAGAAGAGACTGTGGTGGTGGCGGCGGCGGCGGTAGCGGTTTTTCGACGTACTCGAACGATAATTCCATGGACTCCCCACTAGGGAAGCTGTATTAACAACCACCATTTCAATCATAAAAGGATAAAAAGAAAGAGTGATACTTTTTTTTTATATCAATTTTTGAATTTAAGCGGAAAGATTTCTTTTGTAAAAAAAAAAAAAAAAAAAAAAAACCTTCCAAAATTAAAACCCTAGAACTCGAGAAAAAAATAATTTCATTGGAGATGAAAATAATTGAAGTAGATAATACGAAGATTAGCTAATTAAATACCTGTCTGAAGAAGGAAACGCATCCACTAAGCTACCATTAACGGCAAATCCATCTCCCCATTCACCCTGAGTGAAATTAATCGACGTCGTGAAAAAATAATAAACAAGCTAACTAAAGATGAACTAATTAAACCATTAACCTACTCTAATTACGATAATTACAGCTTAATAGTATCATCTTAAATCAAATATATATTTACTACTTAGAACCCTAGAAATGGAGCTCAAAAAATAAACTCCATTTTCAAACCCTACTTTTTTTTATCGCGCCTACAATAGTTTTTTTTGCAGAAAAAAATGAAAATGCAACAAAATATAACGATATTTCTCAAAATAATTAACACAAAGTTTGAATTTGAAATTGAAATTGTCGGGGATAAAAATTAGATCTGAAACCAGAAAATTAAAAAAAAAATGAAAATGAAAATACCTGGAGAGAGAAAGAGTCGACATCCCAAGGAGAACGATTGAGCTGACAAACTAGAAATGATGATGAAGAAGATGAAGATGATATTAGCCTTGCGTTTTTTCTAATCCTCATAATTTTCTTCTTGATTTTTCACAAATTTCAGATCTGCTAAAAATAATTTCGTTCAGTTCTTCTGTTTTTTTTTTTTTTTTTTTTTTGAGGGTTGAAAGATGTTTTAATTTAATTTTTCTCTCAATTATTCGTCGTTGTCTAGCTTTGCAGATCTCTTATCAAAGACGTGGAGTTACTTCTATATTTATAATAAGGGTTTTTTTTTAGTTTTTTTTTGTTTAGTGTGGTTGCAATAAAAAAAAATATAAAAAAATTAAATTTTATAAATAAATAAAAATGAAGATGAGTTTCTCGATATTTCAGAAATTTGAAATTCCATTATACCCTTAGTTTGAGTGTGTAATTACATGAATAGCATCCACATGTATTTTATTATTTTAATATATGGATCAAGAAATGGACTGTGGGTATGACATGTCATATTTTTTTTGTCCAAAGGTGGTGCCTTTTTTGGCAATAGATTACGCAATGGTGTAAGTGTTTGGTTCCATTTGTTTTTTCTGAAAGTATTTGATTTATAATTATAACTAAATTAATTGGCGTAAAATAAATGAAAATAACTTTAAAAGATTTTTAAAAATAGAGAAATTCTTTTGAAAGTTAGTATGCACATATTCATTCTTGTTCCTAATTAACATAATAATAACATTCGATTTTATTATACGAGTGCCAAGATATGTATACAATTATATATATTATATATACTTGTAAAATTATGTTCATTATCGATCAATTGGATGGAATATAAAATCTGGAATCAATTATTTTTTTTTTATAAGAAAATTCAATTTTCTTTTAAAAACACGAAACTTAATAGATATTGCAAATTGTTTATCGATCATCTCAAATTTTAAATTGTATTTCTTTTTTTGTAAGAAAAATTATTATTTTTTTTTAAAACCCAAAGCTTATAAGATATTGCAACGCTGTTTATCGATCATTTCAAATTTTAAGTTGTATCATACATGTATATAAACTAGGTTTACTTTAGATTATTTCAGTTCCTTATTACTTATAACATATTTTATCGTTTTATATGAGGTTTTTTTTTTTTTTTTAAACAATTATACATAATTTCGTAATGAAACAAATACTTGTAAAAACTATATAACGGGAACTAAAAATATATGTAATTTATGTAACAACCAGCAAATAGGTAATTAGGATTTTTATTTTTTTATTTATTTTTTTTTTTTTTTGAAGTGAAAGGGTGGGGAATGGGAACATTTATTTATTTATTTATTTATTTATTTTTGTTGCTGTGGTGGAAGAAGAGGAGTTCTTAGCTTGTACATATATATAGCAATACATGCGAAGATGCAAATGTGGGTAATTTAAAAAAAATCTAGCATTTTCACTTCATACTGCACTTCTTGTATGTTCTATGTTAGGTGTTATTACATGATATAAGAAGTAGTTTAATTAATTGACATAAACTTATACTTCGTACTTTATATTCAAATAAGGTTGTACTTTTTATTCCATCTGCTATTTATTGCATTGATTTAATCAATATCAAGTTTTAGAAAAATTTTGAGTAATATATTATCTTAGGTTAATTGTTTACTTAAAAGTAAGAAATGTGAGGGTAAAAAAAAATATAATGGAATTTTTTTTATAAATGTTAATTAATTAATTATAATTGAAATGATTTATATGAAGTACTTAGTTATATAATTAAATCAAATGTACATGACAAATATAAAACTCAAACATAAAACATAGCAATTTTTTTTAAAAAAAAAGTTGGGTAAAGTAAAAATTACTCGAATTACCAAGACTAATCAAGTTAATGTTGCTAAGTACACTACTTAATTTGCCTCTTTGATGTATATTTGAAAAAAAAATAAAAAAAAATCCTACATTCCTACATATAATGTTTGTAACATTAGTATTACACAGTACTTTTTAATTTTAGGGTATGTTCACATTTACTGAACTGAACTAAATTGATTGGAGCTGAACTGAACTGAGTTGAGCTAAGAGAGGGAAATTAAGAGCTGAACTGAACTGAACCGAACTGAACTTATATTATTAGAGCTGAACTGAACTGAACTGAACTGATTGGAGCTGAACTGAACTGAACTGAAATTAAGTAAATGTGAACAGACCCTTAGTATTAGTATACAATAAAAGTAGGTAGAGATAAAATAAGAGAGGTTAATAAATGAAAATGTGTAAGTATTGTGAAATAACACGATATAGTAGTAAAAAGAGTTTTTTTTTAAATGAAATTAAGTGAAAAATGTTGAAAATATTATAAAATGAAAAGGACAAAATATTAGAAAATTATAAAATATATATTTAAAACTAAGGTACTCCTTTAAATTTTTAAAAATGTAACGGTTTGACTTTTGTACTATTCACATGGGGACATGTTTGACTTAATTTTTTTTGATATTATAAAATAAATCAATATTATTATATAATATATCATTAGATTCGTCACAATGTCTACTTTTATAATATAATTTTGTTACAATTTATACTAATAGACAATTAAAGATATTAATAGTCAAAGTTATGTCTTACAAATATGTCATCAAACTGTTGCATTAAAAAAAATTAAAAAAAATAAGGGAGTAGTACTTACTGATAGAGGTGTCAAAACCACATCCTAAACCGATCCGAAAAAAAAAATCAATTTAGATATGGACTTGTGTGGACTTAATAATTTAATATGACTCAACTTTTAAAATTGACCCAACTCCGACCTAATCAGACTTAATCGGATCATTTGAATTGACACCTCTATTTACTGAGTACTCGATATATAGAATCCGCTAAAAATGGTAAGAGCTTAATTAGAACCGGTGAAGTTAAAGTAATAAAGACTTTGTACCCTATGGGCCTTGCCCAACGTTCTGATACTATGGACCAAAGCCCAATTTAAAATGAGTTTCATTATTAATTTTAAAGCTTATTTCTTAACACCAAAGACCATGCGCTACTAGAGTACTACTTTTTTTTTTTTTTTTTGAAGGGGAAGATAAAATTCATTAATAATAAGCCATACGGCACTTACATAAGATATCGTAATCGAACAATACAAAGACAAAAGAACCAATTACAAGTTCGAAATAAAGGAAACTACAATTGCACTCGCAAAATGACTTTCTTAAGTACCCTTGACTCATATAACGCTGTCCTATGCAGCCTCTTGCAAGGGAGTGTGACAATATGTTGTAGTTTCTGACGTGAACCTTCATTGGCTCATAATCCCGTACTCCTCGACCAGAAATCAAAATTGGTGTCGTACACTTCACCTTAGACAAGACATAAATGATATAAATGATATATCCTCCATTTTTGTTACATTGATTTTAAATTATTAATTGGCCAAATGTTTATATTAGAGACCTTGGATTTTATTTTAGTAAAAATCAAGATCCTAATACATACAAGTATATTTATTTAATTTTGTTGTCCCAAAAAAAAAAAAAAAAAAAAAAAAAAAAAAAAAAAAAAAAAAACTTATCCATAGTAGTATAGTTATTTGTAAAGAAAGTCTATAAGATTTATAAGATTTAAGTGACCACTCAATGACGCGATTAAAGCCTTAAGGGTTTAAGTCTCATTGCCTGTTGAATATACGAAGTAATAGATTAATGGTCATTTACTTTTTAAGTAAAATTCTCAACAACTAACCTAGTAGAGGTTTTCAAATCACCCTAATTTAACAAGAATTGTATCCTCTAAAAGTAAAAAAATTCCTAAATTGGGTACGACTAATAAAACAGATGTAATCAAATTGTAATAAAACATTTTTAAATTGATGGGCTGAAGCCATAATTGGCGGGTTTAGCGCCACACTATTACATTAGTTAGTTGATGTCCAAAAAACTAACAATTCTAAAAATGAACAAAACAAAAATATTTCAACGCAAATTTGGAAAGTTTCTCTATAATTAGACTATTCTTATCTTCCACCGTTATTTATTACCGAATTTCAGTCCTTTTCTTCTTCAATCCAATAATTCCTCCATTTTTATTTGTCATTTCCATTAATTATCTATTTACTAACACAAAACAAAACAATTAAAATCAGTACAGTATATTGCATTATTATTTCATAAGATAATAATAACATAAAAAACCTTAATCATTCATCTAGTTGAATTTTGGTGGTAAATCAATTATAATTAACTCGTTATTATAATAAAAATGGCTTCGGACGCGCAATTGGAGAAGATGAAAATGAGGCAAAGCTATCACAATAATTGGACAGTCGAACTCATGCAAACTCTTTCCGTTAACCCTGCTTGTTGTTTCCTTTCTCTGTTTTTTTCATAATTATTTATATATTCCTTGTTAATAATATTCGATTATATATTTACAATTTGTTTTTCGAACTTTGCAGATTGTTGCTATGCAGCTTGGTGGTGAGTAATTTATTTTAACTTTACAAATTTCTTTAATGATCATTTGGTGAATTTAATTCCTTCAACCTTTTTTTTGCTAATTTACTTTTATTTGTCTCTTTAAACTTTTTTAAGATCATTTGGTGAATATAATTCCTCCATCATTTTCAATTATTTATTTATTTATTTTTATTTTTTAAAGTTGACTTTTGTGGCGGACTTTTAGTTGAAATAAGTATTGCAATGAATTTCTTAGGAGTGGAAAAGATATCTAACTAATAAGTTTCCCTAGGAAATAAAATTCAACACTCCATATTATTCTTCAAACCGACACAACCTTGGAATAACAGGGTAATATATTTGAACATGTAGTTAATTAATATATTTCCGAATAATTCAGAATCATATCAAAGTCATACATTTTTCATAGTACATATCTAATCTTTAGTTTTACATGTATTATAAATTAGCTAAGAATGGTTAATTCACTTAAATGTGGACAAACTTGTCACTATGTCACGCCCTAAAGGCTAAAGTTAACTTGTAAATGTATGTTTTATGATATGTGTTAATAAAGTTTTACTAATATGCAGTGCACCATGTGCTTCTTACATGCTTCGCAAACGAGCCTTGTATGGTGATATGAGAAGGTTAATTGAACTTGCATAACTTCAATATTAAGTAGTCTATGAAACTTTTGTGTATATGCATGAACATAACATAACATAAAATGCTGATACTTTTTTTTTTTTTTTTTTTTTTTTCTGACAGATACACATGTTGTGGTGGATATATGCCCTGTAGTGGCAAGTGTGGAGAGCAAAAATGTCCTGAATTTTGTCTTTGTACTGAGGTTTACATTCCCTTTCTTGCTTTAATTTGCATTTAACTTCATGACTGTTTTACTACTTTGTTCTGATCGATTCAAGTGTTCAATTACGAAACTTGGTACATTCCATCCGATCCCTAAATGTAGTTCAGAGATGATATTAAGGAATTGACTAAAAGTATGTACCATAACATTCCTGTAAGGTTTGATTTGGAACATAAATTAGACTAGTGAAGTAGTGATCCTTCTTGTTACAATAAGCCCTTATTAAAAGGAAAGTGGACAACTATTTTGTGATGAACTTAGTGTTTTATATCAGGTTGTATGTTGTTTCTCAAATTCTGTTGCCTCAACGCGCTTCATGTTGCAAGACGAGTTCAACATTCACACTACAAAATGCGACAACTGCATAATTGTACTCCATCTTCCCCTTCATTATGTTTGATTTCCAAAATTTCTTTGATAATTGTACTAACTGATATATCTTTGGGGGTTAGGGATTCATGTTCTTCCTCCAGTATTTTGCATGCTTATGTTCAATAGTTGCTTGCTTAACTGGAAGCGAAGAACTCAATGACCTTTCACAATGCTTGAACTGTTTATCAGATACAGTTATGTGCACGTAAGTTTGTCATGTCTACTGATTGAATATGATCTGGTTGCTTTGATGACTATATACAAACTAATTCACATATTTTGGACATTTGCAGGGTTTGTGCATGTATGCAGGTATGCAGGACTAGCTACACTACTTAACTCTGCAAATTTTTGCTGTCATTTGTTCTAGTATTTCCTAGATTGTGTAACATACATTATTTAACATATTATGTCAGCTTTGAGATACAGAGCATTCTATCCTAATACAATTCATCACTGTATATGTTAATGATAAAATAATGCAGACGCAGCATAAGCTTGAGTTAGATAAAAGAGATGGCATCATTAGCGCGTTTCCTGCAATGACAGTCCCTCCTGTACAGCAGATGTCACGCATGGATCCCAGAGCTCACCCCCCATCAGTTGCTGGGAATCCTCAGATCGCCGTTGCATATGGTTATCCTGCCCGTTAGTTTAAGGCTAGTTATACAATTCATATACAGAGTTGTGAAGTGTTGGCTAAATTCTTTGTAAGAAAGCATAAGAAGGAATGATATTATGCATCACATGCTTGTATGATGCAAATAAAATGCCTTAATTATTGCAAGTAAATTGAATCATTAATGCTAGCTATTCTTCCACTTGTGACAGTGTACTATACTAAATGTTGTTGTAGTTTAAGTTGTCATTATATTAACATGCTTAGCTTGATTATTGAGCTGATCGAATGTAACTCATCTAACTTGATTCGAGTAGACATATAATGATCAAACCTTAACATGACCCAACTGTTTGATATGGGCACGCAAGTTTCGCAATCTCAGAAAGGAGGTTGGCAAGGGCAAGGCCATATTTTGTTCACTTATTATATGAACTTTAATCATGAATTTGAGCTAATTAAATATCAGTATAGAATAGCAAAAAGAGTTGATGAGTTCAATAATGGAATATTAATAAGATTAATCACTAGATATAATATAAGAACATCTATAATGTACTTGATTCCTGGTGTCCAACATTCTTGGTCGGATAACAATATAATAAAAACATCAACATATATAATTTATAATGTTATGAACCTCACTTGTATGTTTAAGAGCCAAATTATGTTTCTTCCAGGAACCTCACTGTATACTTCCTCAATTTTATTTTTATCTGAATTGTTGGCAATTTAATAGCAATTAATTTGTGATATAAAAAGAAGTTTAGACTATACTTGTATTAGTTTATGGCTATATTAGCCAGAATAGCCACTAAAGACTGTAGAGTACACCTTCATGTTAGGTTTGAGAACATATGACAATTGATAGGGCCCGAGTTTTAGTGTAGTAGGTCGTTTTTGGTGGATAATGGAGCCATAAATTTAATACTATTTGGTTATTGAAAGAAATTTCGTAGTCAGTAGGTGAGAGGACCAACATCACATGAGATATAAAAAGAGCGCTCCGTATATATGAGAATAGACTTTAATCTAACAGCCAAGTTTGTTTTTAAACTTTTGATGTAGATTTAGATAAGAGAACCCCATAATTTTGACTCATTAATTAATTACTTAAACAAGAAGACTAATTAAAATTAGACTTACTATTAGAGTAGTACAAGTATGTACTGTAACTCTGTAAACAGGATCGAAGCAAGGGCAATGGGCCCCAGGGCCGACAAGGTAGAAAGATTCGTAGGCCCAAAATCAATGACAAAAATGGGTTATTAACAATGGAGACTTTACGTCCCAAAAAAAAAAAAAAAAAAAAAAAAAATGGAGACTTTAGGTGATTAATTAAAGTTGGGGTGGGTGTTACACTGTTAGGTATTACAGCATTTAGGATTTGACATATTCCTTAGCTTAGGCGGCAGCCAATTTTTGTTAATTTCAAGTTTTGTAATGATTTTTCTTATAATTAATCATCATATCATTAGTTGTGCTTATGATACCTTAATTATATATTCATATGGGGATTAGTGCATGATAAAATTACCCACTTCTTGTTGACATCGATCACATTTATATACTCGTGTTATGCTTAATACTGAAAGCTACAAGTCTTTCCACATTGTTAGTCCGTCTTCAACCTCCACCCATATCCTTCTTAGATTACTAAATCCGATCATAAATCATTACTATCTCGAATGTTTGATGAGTCCCCGACATAACATCCACCGTCCCAACCAAGAAAATAACAGGGGATAAAAAAGAAAAAGAAAGGGAACGATAGAAGTTGTCAGGAAAAATAATGGAGGACATGTGCCATCAACTTAGAAGAGAAAAAATGTTTAACAGCAAGTTGAAAAAATTAACAGAAATAGGAGGAATTCAGAGTACAGAAGCCTGAGATAGGGATAGATCAAGTGCGCACATACACCCAAAAATTAGATACTACTCATTCATCACTTAATACAACTACTACTATACTTTGAAAAAACATTGAACCATTTTATGTCTCCAAATTTAAATAAATATTATAATATGGTCCCTTTTGTATGTAATGTGTTTACTAAGAAAACAATGGGGGACAAGAATACAAGATTTGCTAGGATGGCATGATTTAGTCACCCATATTATCAAGTTTGGGAAAAGTGTAAAAGCATTTATACACATGATTTCTGCATACACAATCACTCTCCTATCTTAATTATTTATGTTTTTCTAATTTAATTAATAAGTCGGATTTATATTTTATTATTATATACATGTATTAATTGAAATTATAGATATGGAGTATGAATCTTACCAACGATGACTTGTGTCACATATATACAAGTGATATATTTGTCGTGAAAGACTCAATCTTATGCTTCAGCTAAAGAAGTTTAATTGAAAGGGATGAGAATCGAACCAAGCCAGCACGAGTTAATTATGACTATCATTGAGCTTCGATGAGAAGCTACTTCGATTATCAAAAATTCACAAAACTAAGAGACAAAAAAAATGGTTTATTGCTTTAAGGTACTTTAAGGGACAAAACAAACTTTTATAATGATCTTGGATATCTAAAAACTTTGATTTTCAAGTCTAATAGATGATTGCATCTTAGAGTATAAAGTTTAAAATAATAATTAAGAGGTGATGGGTAAATGTAAATTAGTGGCTAGAACATGAATTATTAATCAAAAGATTTGTTTTTTCCTCTTCATTTTTACACATAAAAAATACATTTTTAATTTATTAGTAGTATTATTGTAATTATACACATGCAGGACCACATAAAAACACTGATCCACTAGTACAACTACCTATAGCAAAAAAAATAATTGCAAAATTATGCTATTATATGGTGACAAGATCCGATCATATCGCTTGTTATCTAGCTATCTGTGTCAATTACTTTCGAGTACTTATTAAGATTTTCTCTTTTTACAATTTTTAATTTTATTTTTAATTTTTTTGGTAATGATTTTTGAACCTCTCATGGTCCTATCCACTTTCACTAGGCATTATCATAAAACCGTACAATTATGAATTTTAATCATTTTAATTATTTATAATTTGTACGAAATAGATTATTAGTCTTATAGATTGTTAAATAAGTTAAATTTTAGCAAATTACACTCAATTTATATGAATAATTAAAGTTAGTACAATAATTAATTATTTGCTTAAATAATAACCATAATCATTTTTTTTTATGATGAGTTTAACATCATAATTATCTACAATATAATTGATATTTAACAATGAACAAAAAAAATGATGAAAATGACACTATAATAGTTTAGAAGAAATTATATACTTGTATCATATAACAATGTTCAGTATGATGTTTTTATTATATTATGAACATAAACCCTCCTAAATTATCATTAGTGATGTACAACCTCATAATCATATGCACTAAGAAAATTTTAAAAAAGTGACAAATAAAACTATTTAATCCTAGTAAAAAGAAAAGAAATTAAAGAGAAAATCCAGTGTAGTTATAATGATCAACATACTGAAGAAGATCGCAAGAATCAGCAGCTAATAGCCGTTGATTAAACTCATCAAGCAAATCATGAAGAAGGAAAGGTGTACGGCAAAGAGGACACGTACGATGATCAAGGTCCATCCAACGGTCAAGACAATCTTTATGAAAAATGTGTTTACAGTTGGATAACCACCTGATCTCTTCACCACTGCTAAACTCATACAAGCACACTGCGCAGCTTTCCTTCTCTTGTTGCTCCTTTGAGACACGTACGAGGGGGAGGAGTTCTCGTGTTACGATGGCGGATAATGGTGGGGAGGTGGGCCCCACCGTTATTCGAGGGATGGTGGTAGCGTTTAGTGGTGGAGGTAGCTGATCGAGGGCTATAGGGCCTGGCTCGAGGAAGTCGGACAGGCCCATGTAGTTGAAGAGATTGAAGAGGATTTTACGGAGTAATGTGAAGAAGGTGAGAGTGTGGATGAAGAGAGTTGGGATGAATACTTCGGTGTATCCAACTGGGAAACCCATGTTTGTGGTTTTTGTGTTTGGGGGATGAATAGAAAGGGGGTATCTTGTATTTATATAAGGGAAGGCTGGTGGGGGTGTTTCATGTTTTGGTATGTGACAAACCACTAGCAATCTAGTATGGTATATATGTGGTTGGTAGGCCCCTTGGTACGCACAACTGTAACCGTAATTAATTTGTTAAACTAATAAACGGGTCTGGGCCACACCCGTCACGTACAATTGTCCACTTTATACGACCAAGGAGATTCCACCTCAAAACCATATGGCAATGAGGGGAGTAGCCTCTTAGCCTTATAAAGTGGACAAGACTTTCTCTTTTCTTCAATGTAGGATACACATCCCAATATTTCTCTTCACTTTTATATTCTTTCAATGTGGGACAACACTTTCACTCACATGTGGGTTTTCTCATGGGCTCAACATAAACCTAGTAAGGTACATTGATTTTAAATTTTTTAACTACTTACTCATCGAATTTGTCGTCATAATAATAACTACTATCATTTACAATGGATTGTGGGAGTCTGGTAGATAAGGTACAATTAATTTAAATCATATATAACATCTAATGTTACTCCGTATTAACTACATTAATTGGTTAAAGTAAAAGTGATACTACACCTAAGACCTGAAATTGAACCTCTTTCATGTCTCTACCCTGTTTTCTTAAAATTTAACTAGGCATGAGTTGCATGATAATAAGATTCATAATGTTAAGGGATGGAGTAAGAGTATTTTTTCTTAGTAATTTCTTTCTAGGAGTAGAAAATTATTAAGATTCTTCATTCATATTTTAATTAAATTAAAAATAAACATAGGACTATAATAATATCTCTATATATGTCTTCCTATAATATGCTGTTAACCTGTTATAGTAGGGATTGTCTTTTGGAGGTTCCATTAGGAAAAAAAAGGAGGGAAGTAGGCTCCTTGTCGTAGCTAATCTAAGTGAATCTACTCCATAATCTTAAAAAAGGGTCCCACCTATTGCATCCCAAGAAAATTAAAGTTTTATTCCTAAAAAAACGTTGAAAAGTAGAAGCACTAAGTTTATTTTACGATTAGTAGATAGGCTTTTAGTGTCAAATTTTCAAAAGAATCGACTGTATAATAAGAACCAAGAACAAATAATATACTGTAGGTATTAGCATTTATTTACATAAATCTACTTATTCTAGAAGTTTTATACATAGAGTAATGAAAAGTAAAATATGCCATTCATATGTAGTATGAAGTATTATTGTAGGAGTTCTCAAAAAAAAAAAAAAAAAAAAAGTATTATTGTAGGAGTATGTGTATTTCTAATTCAAGAGGTACTACATTTTGGATTTTTGGGCAATTCTTTTACTCTACAATTCATCTTATATGTACAACCGATTATACTTTATATTCGTATGGTATAACTAGATTAATAACGTGGTTATTTCTTTGTACACAACTAAATAATAGTTTTGAAGAAATTTTGACCCACTAGGCCAATTGTTCGGGAAATCATTTTATATATAGCTTAAAAGAAGTCATTTAATTTTTAATTAATTCAACATGTGGATGCATGAATTTAATATTTACAAAAATATACCTCTTCAAATAATTTTAAGGAAAATCTTCATTTAGTTTTATATAATTAATACGGAGTATACATTAAAATAATCTATAAATCATTTTTCTGAAAAAAATCAAGGTTTTTTCAATTCTATAATGTTGTGTATTTTTTTACACTATAGTATTTTATTTTCAAGCTAGATGTATTATTGAAGATATTGCACTTCTAGAAAGGCCGATCATAAACTACTACAGAATACTTAGTATTAAGTTGAAGATATAATTAAAATTTGTAACTATTTTTATGCAGAGTATCATTTTTCAACAATAGAAATCCAAATATTCAACCAATGAATTAATTACTATAAGAAGATCAACAACAACCATGATTGAAAAGAAAGAAAGCTAGATGTGTTCTTCTGTAGCTAACATTATGATTTTTATTATTATTATAATTATTATATTAAAGATTTGTGGCCAAAATTAGCACCTAACACGTTTCATTACTTATCCTTTACCCTTTTAATTATTTCGTTTGTTTTGCCCTCTTGTTCACTTATAATTATTCTTTTGAATTAGCTAGAAATTATAATAATTCTTGATAAAAGATAAAATGCCACTACCATAATATATAGACGATAAATCAATAATAGGTGGAATGCTTAATCATCCTTTTTTAATTTGTCTATTTAAGTTCGTTGTCATAAATCATAACGCAAACATTCTACTACTACCTAGCTGATGCGTGCAGCTACATCTAGATAGAACAATTTAAGATTCAAAAGAATTTAATTATGTACTACAACTTACTAATTATTTCTTATAATATAGTTTGTATATGCCCTAATAATATATATTTGGTGTTCTAAAGATGAAAAATATGGGACCCTTTAGTAAGTGATTATCTACGTCTTTCCACATTTTTACACGTGCTTTTGTTTTATTTTATGTATGTACTCCGTATTAGCTAGGAAAACAAAATTGGTAAATAAACCCATTTCAGCTCCCATCATTCCCATGCATGTCTAATAAATTATGCATGAAATAAAGCATTAATTATGCATATACAATTATACATTATATTGTAGATGCTACATGGGACTCTTACAACAACGTTATAAATGAAGTTTAATCTTCTTTCTATGGAGTACAATCTATGTACAGGTACAGAAAATTATTTTAAAGATACTATTTTTTTTTTATTTAATCACGGGGTTTGGTATCCAACAATTTTATAATTGTACAAGTTCGTTATCCACCACTTTTCTATTCAAACTTAGTTATACACCATATCTAATTAAGTTAACCAATTTTGATACATCATAATTCATTAATCTAATACTCTGTAATGAATTTACGTTTAAGTGTATTCTAAAATCAAACGCATCAATTATATGATACAATCATATAACAATATAAGTAGTATACGAAGCTCAACTGAAAGATGAGACCCGATATTGTGAGGGGAACATATCAAATGGTATAATTAATGCTTATAGAGGGGTTGATGCCTACAAAAACAATTGAGATGATGTAAGGCTCACAAGTTGGAAACCGTTGACGCCTAATTGCCTAGTTAAGATTTGATCATTTTAGACGACACTTGCAATATATATGTGATGAAAGGTCATTTTAAATTTTCAATTATTCAATTATATACAGTATCAGAACAAAGAGATCGTCTTCAAATTGAATATAATGTTATATCGAGTTGGTGCAAATTAGCTTTGAATGTACGTTGGCCGTTGCTTTGGTTTCTGGTTATTAATTTTGTGATGCTGGTGGATTGGTGGCTTGTGACATTCTGTACAAGATTTGATTATGATGTAATTAATTAAATTATTGACAAATTGGCCTCAACATTTAATTAAGTGATTTGATTAATTACTTCCATTATGCATGTTTCATTGGAGATATTAGCTAGGTTTTGATTGTTTCAGGGCCATACTCTAATAGACTAAATAGTACCCCTATAATCCTATATATCTAGAATATCATATGTGAGATCCTGAGCTAACACAAATTTTAAATCATTATTAAAATAATTATTAGCTAAGATTATTTTTAAATCATTCAAAGCAATCACTTAACTCACTTATTTATTATAATGTTTGAGAAAATAGGGTACACGCAAATACTTATAGTATGTGTGGTTAAACATACTTTGTATAGACTTATTTTTCACCGTAGTAGAAATTATGTATAATTGTGTTGGAACTTATTTTGTCCGAAGTTAATTAAACTGATTATTTTGTCTGAACCAATAATAATAATATAGAAGTTCAAACAATAAAACACACCCTTGCTTACTTCTTCAAATTTTATTTTTTATTTTTATACAGTACGTAGTATAATTTTACACAAGGTTTATTTTAAAAGATAATTTTAATCCTTAAAAATGAATAATGATTAAAAAAAAGTACGTTATTATGTCTATACAATCAACTTGCATGGAAGAAAGTGAGGGTTGAAACTTGAAAGGGGTGAAAGGCCAGATGGTGGGTAATACGTACGGTTTTAATAATTAAGTTTGCGATGGAGAGTTGGCTCTTTGTTGTCTCAACTCATATATATACACAATACAACCCCCCCTTATTTTTCCCCCATTTCTAGCCATGCAAGACTATTGAACTTTTTTAACATGGCAATTACCCTACCCTTTAACTTTTCCATAATCTTATTTGTCATCATAAACCAGAAATGATATATAGTAGCCTAATTATTACTAATATTGAAATAAATACTTATAAGTTTTAAAGACAAATAAAGGAATTATGGTTAAAAAGACACCCTCCACGTACCCCCCCTCCCCCCTATTTTAGTTATTGGATATTTTACACATAAAAGTTAGTTAAGTATTGGGTGATCAGTTCCGCTCTCCATGAACCCACCCACCTAAAACTGATATATATATATGAAATTTTCAATAATTTGTATAAGATCCAAAAATATATATCTAAATTTCAAAAGTCGAGAATTCGAGATGTTTAAAAACTTATATAAAATGATCAATAACTTATATCCATCTCACCATGAAGAGATTAGTATTTCTCCGAGTCAAGTTATAAGTTAACTTTTACAAGTGATAATGTTTTTAAGATATAAGTTAACTTTTAATTATGATCTTTATGTAAGAAATTGACTTTTAAAAGGAATAATAAATCACATCACACACTCACTCATCGAGTCACACTACTAGAAAACACCTTAATTGCGACGGAAAAAGTTCGTCGTAAACTATGTAAATTCCGTCGTAAAATTGGTTTACGACGGAATTCCGTCGTAAATGGTTGTCGGAAAACCCTTTGTAGGAAAATGGCCATTTTACGACGGAAATTCCGTCGTAAACCAACTTTACGACGGAAATAATATCGTCGGACTTGGAATTGGCCTTTGATGAAGTTCCGTCGCAAATTTGCGACGAAAAGAGTTCCCTCGCAAAATATAATTTACGACGGAATTTTCCCTCGCAAAATATAATTTGCGACGGAATTTTCCCTCGCAAATTATAATTTGCGACGGAATTTTCCCTCGCAAAATATGATTTGCGACGGAATTTTCCCTCGCAAAATATGATTTGCGACGGAATTTTCCCTCGCAAATTATAATTTACGACGGAATTTTCCGTCGCAATGTATATTTGTACGATGGATAATTCCGTCGTAAATCATATTTTACGAGGGAAAATTCCGTCGCAAATATGTAAATTACGACGAAATATTCCGTCGCAAATTGTATTTCCAGCCCAAAACAAATTTTTGTAATTTTCTGCATTTTCAAACCTGAATTTTTTTAATGATAAATCGACAAAAAAAATAAATAAATATTGAGTCCTAAAATTGTTGTTTTTAAAAAATTAATTACCGACCTACGAAATTAGGGTTATGTACATATATATATAATAATTATGTCCTAGTACAAAAGATAGTCCACATTTTGGTATCTATACCAAACAAAAGCTAGGTTAGAGTGATTCTATGCTAGACTAAAGCTAAGCTACGCAATCGCCTGGAAACCCTGGCCTGCTCCACCACCACCCGGGTCGTTCCTAGGGTCTCGATGCTGAGGATGAATGGTGGAACATGAGTCGTTGTTGTTGAGACGACTCATCATCTCATCGAAACTCTCCTTGTATCTCCTCTCCATTTCAGCCATTCGGGCTTCCATTTGAGTTTGAAGAGTTTGCACCCTGTGTTCCATCTGGTCTTGCATTTGAGAAATGACAGACGGCGTGTATTGCTGTGAAGAACGGGAACCTTGACCCTGTTTGCCATAGTAGAACTCTGCACTTTGGCCAAGTCCCTTCACACGCCCCTTCTTATTGCGCCCACCCACCGACTCCCAGTACAACTCATTGGGACTCTTCTGAATCCCCTGACTCATTGTTTCTTCGAGCTTCTTCTGGTAGGTGTCCTACAAAATATTGAAGATAAAATAAAATATTGTTAAAAAAACAACCAACAATATGGAGTTATATCGCATACTTTTAGGTGCCTAAGGATAGAAATTAAGAAAATTAAGCACATATGTCAATTTTCAACCCTCACTCATCCAAAATCATCCAAATTTGGCCTATATGGCTAAAACCATGCTTATTTTCTAAGTTTTCAAGCAAATGTAAGGTTTCTTTCTTCTAACATTCCAATATCAATTGCTTTTAAGTGCCTAAGGATAGAGATTAAGAGAAATAAGCACATATGTCAATTTTCAAACCCTCACTCCTCCAAAATCATCTAAATTTGGCCTATATGGCTAAAACCATGCCTATTTTCTAAGTTTTCAAGCAAATGGACTCGTTCTTTCTTCTAACATTCCAATATCAATTGCTTTTAAGTGCCTAAGGATAGAAATTGAGCATCATCTTTCCAAAACAACATACATCCTTTCGGGCATGCATGAATCTTTTCATGGGGCAGCTCTAACCCCTTAACAATTTTCTTGACCTCATAGAATGTCTCGGCCATGTGGTTGTTGTTAGGAATCGCTTCATTAACCAAAGAAGCAAATCCATCAACACATCTGTGCGGCAAATTATACTCACACTTTAGGCTAGTGATTCTAGAAGCCATCTCTAACACAGACAATGAACTCCCTTCGTACAACGGTTGTTCAGAAGCCCTTAACAAATCAAAAAATGGCTTGGCTTGTGCATTAGGCTCCTCCTCTAATGAAACAGGTGGCTCTTTGGAATGGCCTTGATCTTGAGACTGACCAAAGGCATCCAAAACCATTTCACGATATTCATTTGACTCCCTTCTACGAGTTCCTGGAAACTCTTCCCCATGACACATCCACTCGTAGTAATTAGGTAAAAAACCGCTGCGATACAAATGAAGTTTGACCGTATCTGGATCCCAGAGACGTTTGTTTTTGCATTTAAAACATGGACACCTAACTTCATTCGGGTTGCTACTCTCGGGATGATCTTCCACATATTTAAGGAATTCATCTACCCTCTTCAAGAACTCAGGATTAATAGAATTCCCAACCTTCCTTTCGTACATCTAGCTACGTTCTTTTCGTTTCATGATTACAAGTTCTACACAACTAACACATATGCCATTAATCACATTAGTCATAAAGCACAATATATATTCATTGTAGATCAAACTGTTATGGAAATGAAAATGAGAAGAGAAATGATTTCCAAGGGTCCTTATGACTCCAACCTAACCCATCCTTGTACGTTCAATCTCACTAGTGAATGTATGCCAGAATTTCAATTCTATGGAAAATCCGGCAGCATCTCCCTACAGTTCCCCGAGTACACAATATAGGCGATTAGAAACACCTATATATGTACCTAGAGAACATTGTAGAGAAATGACAAGCAAGGATCTTCCTTAGAATTAAAACAAAGGAATACATTCACCACCTAAGTGAGAATAAACGTACAAGGACAGTCCCAACCGGGGACTATTCAAGACATACTCCTAATGTGTATGCCTTGAACGGGTATCTAGGCATATGATTATGCAAATGGTTTTTGTAAAAAATATATATACTTAACTACCATACAAAAAATTATACAAATATATCATAATTAAACTTAACATAAACAAACATATCATAAAACCTTAACATTAATATAAACAAATCAAACCAAACAAAACCAAACTAAACTAACATATCATAATATTAAATATAGTAACATGCATTATAAAAAATTATACTTAAGTAAGAAACATTATATTAAACTAAACAAAACTAAACTAGATTATAATGAACTAAAGTAATCTAACATACATCATATTAAACAAAACAAACAAAACGTACCTAAAGTTTCATAATATTAAACTAATCTAATATACTTTAGTAAAACTAAGCTAAATTAAACCACATTATATTAAAATAAACTAAACTAAAGTTTCATAATATTAAACTAATCTAATATACTTTAGTAAAACTAAACTAAATTAAACCACATTATATTAAAATAAACTAAACTAAAGTTTCATAATATTAAACTAATCTAATATACTTTAGTAAAACTAAACTAAATTAAACCACATTAAAAAGTAAACTAAACTAAACTAACATACTTACACAAAAAAAAAGTAACTAAACTAAACTAAAACACATTATATTAGGGTTTGTAATGTGACTAACCTTTAGATCTGCACTTGTTTTTGACAAATTGTACAAATCCTACATACAAAATATTTTAAAAAAATAATTAAATTAAATAAATAAGGGTTTATTATTAAAAAAAATTAAAAAAAAAATTGGGGAAAGGACAACTTACCAACTGCTTCAGCCACGGCGAGGGAAGGGAGGAGGCCGGAGGCTACGGTGGTCAAGGGAGGCTGCGGTTGTGGTGTCAAGAAAGGTTGCAGATTTGAATGTGTTGTAAAAAAAACCGAATATAAAAAAAAACAACAAAAAAACAAAAACAACTTACCTAGACGCGGCGCCGGCAACAACCAGAAGCGTCAACGGAGGGTCGCCAGAAAACGGAGGCTCGACCTCTTTCTCCTTTTCGTCCTCTTTCGCTTTCTCCTTTTCGTCCTCTTTCGCTTTCTCCTTTTCGTCCTCCTTTCGTTTTGGTCTTCGTCGGCGGCAGATTGGTGAAGACCGGCGCCGGAATCGGGACGGCCGGCGACGGATGCCCCTTTTTCTCTTTCCCTCTCTCTTTCTCTCTCCTTCTCTTTCTTCTGTTTCCAATTCGATTTTTTAGGTTTAGTCCAATTTGGGTATTTTTTTAAAAAACGTATAATCTTGCGACGGAATTTTTTTCCCTCGTAATTTTCATTTTACGACGGAATATTCCGTCGCAAACATATTTTCGACGAAATATTCCGTCGTAAAAAGAAAATTACGAGGGAAAAAAATTCCGTCGCAAGATTACTACGGAATTTTCGTCGTAGATATTTAAATCCGTCGTAAAGTTGCGAGGGAAAAAAATCCGTCGTAATTTTTGAATTTTGCGACGGAAAAACCGTCCGTCGGAAGTAAACCGTCGCTATTTTGCCTATTTCTAGTAGTGTCATCCAATGTTTGTTGTAAATTATTAGAATATTAATTGTGTGATAGAATCTGATTTTACCATATTACTATATTACGGAGTAGTGACTAAGTAACATTTTATAAACTTGATCAAAAGCCTAAGGATGAAAGTGAAACCTAGAAGCATAATTTCGAAAGAAAAGACACCAATCACTATTACAAAAGTGGATTACATTAGGTTTTGATGGGTAAAGGGTCCCATCCAACTCAAATAAACAAAAACAAAAACAAAAAGTAAGATTAGAGCAAGGTGCGGAAACTAAGGAGGTCCATACAATTTTTCAAGAGAAAAACCATATCAGATCATGAACTAATGAGCATAGAAGAGAAAAAGAAACAAAAATTGGGCAATGGGGAGACAAGATAAGCTAAGACTATCAGAGTGAAAATAACTTGTATTAGTTGAATGCATGCATGTATTAAAAGTTAAAACCCAACCAAAAATAAAAACTAGAATAGATATTTTTTGGACAAATTTATATGAAAATGAAGTATCAAGCTTTTTAGCCAAAAAAATAAACAAGGGTGTGGTGAGTGGAAAACGTGGGTGATTAGAAAATTAGTGATTTCACATTAAAGAGATAGAAGAATAATGACTAATGCATAAGATTGGTGGGCTTGCTATTCCGTCTGATTTGACATCAATCAAGTATGTATAAGATGAAACTCTACTAGCTAGACTTATATGTGGTCATACTCTCTTCCATCATGATATTTTTTGGATAGGTTCGTATGAAAGTGAAAAATCGAGCTTTATAACGGAACAAGGGGTGTGGTCAGTGGTGGGTGGAAAATGTAGGTGATGGCAAATTCAGGAGCGCCATATCTGATAATATAATTGGTTAGTTCACAAGGTGGTGGTCGTGGACTAACATAATGAGCCATATATACTTGTTGTAAAATGAAAGGGGGGGCCTGAGTGTTAATGTTATCCTTCTTCCAAGTGCCTGGCCAAGCCAAGACATTGATGGGCCTATTGCCTCCTGCCGCCTTCTTCTAACATGTGGCTCTTTGTTGGTTGTTTCAATTTATTTGGGGATATATACTATACTATACTTGCTTGTTATTCATATGATATGATATGGGTCTTTGTCATTTTGCATGTGCATTTGTATTGTACTATTTGTGCTTATTTGTTACATGTTGGTATATGTGAACATGCTCGCGATCGACTTAATAGATGATTGTATGTATCATGTATTCATGTGTGTATCCAATTATTGTTTGTAGTAAAACTTAGAGATGATTTTGGCCGGATGATCTCTAGACCAAGCTTCGATGCAAAATTGAAAATTATCCGATCATTTATTGGGTATAATAATCTTGAGATTTTAACTAGTGTTAACTCACTTGGTAAGGCTCTCACATCAAATCTTACAGGTTTGGGTTCGAATTTTATCCAGTGAAGGTACTTGAGGTAGGGATTCCCTTACCATCCCTTCTACTCCCAAGTGTCTGGGTAGCAAATATTAACCAAAAAATCCGTGAGCATTGAGATCTGGTCAGGATCCTCCTCACTATAAAAAAAAATAATAAATATAATGTTTGGGTATGTATTTAGGTAATATTGATTCAGTTTGAATTATCACATTTTATGATTCAAAAACACTTCAATTCCAAGAACAAAGATATTGCTCAGCGGCTAATTTTGACTGTCTAGATCAGGCTAGTTCTATTTACGTTATGTGATTCGTCTATACAATTTGTGTAAATAATAGACTCAATAGAGTTTGTTGTTAGTAGCTAGGAAGTTAAGAAGGTATGTACATATTGACTTATATGTTTGGAGAAGGCTCAAAGATTCATGTAAGGAGATGTATGTAGGTAATAATAAATGTTTGTTTACATTTACTGAACTGAACTGATTGGGGCTGCATTGAACTAAAATGAATATTTTATTATAGAAGGAAATTAGGAGCTAGACTGAACTGAACTAAATTGAAATTAAACCGAAGTGAACATGCCATAGTCAAGTACATGACTAAAAAAAAAAAAAACTCTTTGTAATCACTTTGTACTAATATTTGGAGTACAAATCATCCATAATAGTTTATTATTTGAATCTAAAAAGGCTCTCATGAGTCATGATTATGGAATGAATGTGGATTTTAATACATAATGTTGGGGAATTGGGGATGAGGAATTTAAGGTCTTAAATTGATGAAGATTCTAGAGCATCCCAAGATATAGTCAATTAATGCAATACATAACAGTACATATATATATAAATGTGATTTCGATATGCATCATGTACTCATGTGCATCATTTAGAGCACATACCCTTTAAATAATTTGAGCATAATTATGGTCAAACAATACAACATTCGTTTAATGGTCCAACTTATAAACATTATTCAACATCAATCTATGGAGTATAAGCCTATAAGTCTAAATCATTACGGAGTACTAAATTACTTTCTTTTACTAATATTTTGAAGATATTTTCTTTACTTAAAATTGACTTAATTTGCATGTATACAAAAATCCAAATTAATGTTATAATCAATTTCTAGTTTCTACATAGCTTTTTCTTCGCATGAAGGTAAGTCGTCTTAGATGAGATATATATGTCATACTCCGCTGTATATATAGGTTATAATTTAGGATATTTATGAAATGGTTAGCTAAAATTAGACAACAATAATAATTATTGAAAAGTGCCTATACAATGATGGAATTTGTGTACCAAAAAAATGAGAGTGATCGACCACCCAACTAATATTAGTCATTAGTTCATTACTTTTTTTTTTTTTTTTTTTTTGAAAGGAGTCATTAGTTCATTACTTAGTAACATAAAAAAAAAATGGATTATTCACATACACCTTTTGAGTAAAATAAAAATAGCACTTGTAATCTTCATTAGCACACAAAGCATGTTATGACATGTTAATCCACCTTTAATAATATATTCGAATGCAAGGCATGGTCCAATAATGATGTAGATGTAAACTTCTCACCATTTTACATTCATTAAAAAGAACCAAACAAATATTGTTTAGTCTTTTTTCCCTTTGTTTTTTTTTTTTGCTTTTCATGTGATTTTACTGTTCTACAAAAGCTTGTTGTTCCTTCTTTGATTAATTATATTTTTCTCATAATTGGATAACGTCCATGTTCGTGTATAGTTTAGGGATACTAAAAAGATTTTAAGAATATTAAATGAAAAAGGATGTCATATGTAGATAGATGGTGCTTTATCTTGTATCAATATGATATAAACCAAAGTATATGACATTTAGAATAGGAGTGAGGAATTAATACGACGTACAAAGTATGTGGATCAAGGTAATATACGAAGTATATATACTGAGATTACCGACTATAAATTGACAAATGATCTCATAGTCGTTCATTCTTTAAGTTAGGTTAGTCCATTAAAGTTGGATAACCAGTTAACCACAATTGATCTATAATAATTTCTTAAACATAACAAGTTTTGTGTGCCTAGCAGCCTAGGCATTATGCACTTCAACAAGTTTGTCAAGGCATGCTTGAGCCGAAAGAAATTATAGACCCCACAAATATATTTATTATCGCTTAGGATGGTTAAAGAGCCGAGCTGAAATATGACTCCAGTGGAGTTAACAACTACTCGTAGTTACAATTTATAAATGTATGATGAAAAAAAATTTACGAAGTAATGTATTAAACTAACTAATGGCCTGTTCTCTTTAGCTTATTTTCAGTTCAACTCAGCTCCAATTAGTTCATTTCAGTTCCTAATTTCCTTCTCTCATAAAATATTAATTTTAGTTTAGTTCAGTTCAGCTCCAATATGTTCAGTTCAGTTCCCTAAATCAAAATAGGCATTAAGAATATAGAATATAGATTAATGAAATCATCATTATTACGATTTACGAAGTAGAACAATTGCATGTTCATATGGTTCTGGTCAGAGAAAATTGGACCTAAGGCCAGATAATAAATTGCACTGTTTTGACACAACACAATTTTACCCCACAACCATCCAATGAACCAGACCTAGCCAGAACGGCTCAACTCCCAACGAGCCAACCCACCCTGTGGTTCAACCGGGCTAATTCTGTCGGCCCAATGGCTACCTTAATCCCCAACAACTTAAATTTTATTTTATTTTATTTTTTTTTTTAAAAAAAAAACAGAGAAAGATTTTGATTGTGATTTTTGGTAGGAGATTCATCAGATCCATCTCCTCCTCTCTCAACTGCTGAGAATCAGATCGTTGTCTCCTCTTCTTCTTCTTCATCTTTTTCACTGAAACTATGCTCTCAATTTCTTCCTTCGAACCCTAATTTTCTCTCTCCTCCATTAATTTGTTCTTCTCTTACGACGATCCAAAATGTATATGGCTTATGGATGGCCGCATGTAATGCCAATTGAATCAGGAATTTCCGATTCTTCTCAACGAATTATTTATCTTAAAGTTATCAATCGATTGTTGCTCGTTGTCGCTCCTTCTCATCTTGAACTCTGGAGTTCTTCTCAGGTTCTGATTCTCTCTATATTGCTTTTTGATTCAGTTCAATTTTTGTAAATTTTAACAAAATTTTCCGTAATTTTTAATTTTTTTTCTTGCGGAATTCGGTAATTTACTTGCTGTTGCTGGCATTTTTGTTTTAAATTGTTGCTGATCTTGTAGAATTTCTGCAAATTGTAACTACTCATATAAGTTTAGTTTTGTCCTTTCTATAATTTGAAATGTGAATTCAGTAGGCTGAGTTTGAATTTGATTGATTTTCAGCTGTTTTTGTAACTTTAAGTTTGAATTTTGCTATACATTGATGCCGAATTGTGGTTGTGGATTATTGTATGGATGTTGAACTGGACTGTTGGGCATGAGCAGCAACATCTGGACTGTTGGATGTTGAATAGGTGAAGTGATGATAATTTGAATAACATTTTAAGGTTTGAGGTGTGAATTTTAGTTGGCCGAGCTAGGGCTGTTAGAATTTTGTTACACATTGATGAGTGGATAGTGGCGGTGTAGTTTTCTTCGCATTCTGACGGTCTGACTTGGAGGCATAGTAGTTACTTTGGAATTGTTACTTTGTCACAAATTGTGTAAAAGCATGGCAATGTGACTATCCTAGTGACTTGGTAAACTTAGTTCAGGAAATTTTCTTGTGATTTCAGAGAAGAAAGAAGTTATAATGTGAATGGTTGCACTAGTTTACACTCATGAGAATTGAGGCAGGGTTGAATTGCACTATTTGCTTTGTTTATTTCGACTGTGATCTGATTATACGCTTTTAACTGTGTCTGACATTGTTTATGTTCTTTGTTTTGTTTGATTAGCATAAAGTGAGATTAGGGAAGTATAAAAGGGATTCAAGCTCAATCCAGAGAGAAGGTGAGAATATACAGGCTGTGTGGAGTCCAGATGCAAAATTGGTTGCTGTTCTTGTGAGTTTGCTTCTCTTCTAATTCCTTCTTTGATTTCTAGTTTATTTTATTATTTTAAGCACTTTCTTGTGTTTTCCACCCAAGTATTTGAAGCATTCTGGTTTCTTAAGTTGATTTTTCCATCGACCTTTGGGTTTTCCCATGTACAGATGAAATAGGATTGATTGATATGTAGCACCTCAATCCTTAATTATATACTAAACATTTGTTTAGCTTGGCACCTGAATGGCTGAATACATCTCACTATCTTATGATGAATATTTAAGCATTATGTCCAGATTCTGCTATACTTTTTGGATTGGAATGTCGCAGGAGTACAATATGTATTTTTACGATCAAATAAGCTGCCTTCATGAGTTTAGTGCTTGTTGGTAGGTTGTAGGTGTAAACTAATTGGTTAGTGTTACTGTGGTAGTCAAGATCATTTGTCTATCAGTAGTGGCAAATTGATTTAGTATTTTAGGGACTCAACATTAAGAAACTTAGATACTGTGTTTTGCTGACTATTGGTACAGTGGCTCTTTCCTTTTAAGGATATATAGGAAAAATCTGTCAGAGATACTTGAAGAAGAATTTTTACTATGGCTAGAGTTTTTCTATGAATTTGATAGGATTATTATCTACCTAAAAAACTGTGGAGGGAGGGCTGCTTTGTATGTATGTGATGGAATTATTATCATTATGAAATAGCGTGGAAGGAATGCATACTACCCTTAAGGTAAGAAGTAATTACTTATAGAGGAGAATTTTCAACGTAAAAGGATGAGATGGCACAAGTTAGTTGGAGTTATGGAATTAGTTATGATAGCCTAAAAGCCTAATTCACAGTAGCAGTGAGAAGTGCCAGTGCTTATTATGATGGGCATAATGAAATTAGTATTTGTTGCATAATTAGTATATGCCTATCTCTTAGTCTTGGCTTCGCCTGTGCTTTCTTTGAGAGTAGAAATGTAATACTAGTAATATCCTTTGCTGGAAAAGCTAAAGCCAGTGAAGGGGAAAAATAGGCTGTTGTGATAGAATGTGCTACCATAAAGATACTAGATTCTGTTTCTGTGGCAATCTGTGGGTTTTGTTTGCATTTGTGGGTTGATGTCCAAAATAAGTACATAATATTGCCGTCTTTAACTTTTCTTTATTTCCTTGCAGACTTCTTCTTTCTACCTTCACATATTTAAGGTGCAATTTTCTGATAAAAGAATACAATTTGGGGGAAAGCAGCCATCAGCACTGTTTCTTGCAAACATTAATATTGTCCTGAATGAGCAGGTCCCTTTCTCTGTCAAGGATTTAACAGTGTAAGCACCGACCTTTACTGCTTGGCTTGGGGATATCATACAATATCCTAAACTTTTTATGAAACTTCCTCCTGCTTATATTTTTCTTTTCATCTTTAAGTGCCATGTGGATTATTATTGTTTTAAAGGTCAGGGGACTGAATGAAAGTGGGTGACCTTTAAGTTACCTAATCCTAATATATGAATAAGAGTATTATATAATTTTTAACGATTTTTTTTTTCCCAGTGCTTCGTGAACCATCTAATGTGCTTATTGCAAACAGTAATACTTGGATGTCTTAACATACTGCTCATAAGTGTTTCATTGAACCTTTTCTAATTGGTTTCTGATTAGTTTTTTCCCTGCCCAGGAGCAATATCGTATGTGATAATAAGCATTTGCTGATTGGACTCTCTAATGGTTCCTTGTATACTATATCATGGAAAGGGGAGGTAAGCTATCAGTACCTTTAGCTTCAATTGCCAACAATTTACTAATTCTTGGCTGAATCACCCCCAGGCCACACTATAGGTTTTTTAGCTTACATGTGTCTGTAATTTTAGGTTGCTACAACTGCAAGTCATCTGCATGCCCACAAATGTGGTTTGATGACTGTTATAACTATCCACTCTAATCTCTATGCGGTTGTTTTTGCAGTTTTGTGGCACTTCTATTGTTGACTGCCGTATTGGTGAGAAAAATGAGATCATTAGTGCATCTAATTGTTTTGAAAATGGCTGTGCAACTGGAAGAAGTCCAGAAGTAAATCATATCGACCCAACACTCTGTGGACCTTCTTCTATTGTGGGGTTGGAGCTTTCGTTGCTATTGAGGATGCTATTTGTTCTTTTCTCTGATGGGAAGCTTTTACAGTGTTCTGTAAGCAAGAGGGGCCTTAAGCAAGCTGACTCTGTAAAAGCTGAGAAGATATTTGGTTCAGGTGATGCTTTATGTGCTTCAGTAGCTTCTGATCAGCAAATTCTTGCAGTTGGTACTAGAAGAGGGGTTGTTGAGTTATATGACCTGGCTGGATCTGGTTCACTAATGCGTAGTGTTTCATTGTATGATTGGGGGTAAGCCTTTTTATGTTGCTTATCTTGGAAATTTGACTACAATGATTGTGTATCAAGTCTCCGTTGCTAGATGCTGTATCTCTGTACTTTGAGAATGGTGATGGGTCTGTATAATAGATTTATGATTGCTGTGGCTAATTCACAGCGGACTAGATGCTGGTCTAGTCTCATTTCGAATTATTTCATGCACTGGTATGATGACAGTGGCTTTAATTACTGATAATTTCTGCAGGTATTCTACTGAGGATACTGGTCCTGTTAGTTGTATCGCGTGGACACCTGATAATTCTGCCTTTGCGGTTGGATGGAAGCTTAGAGGGCTTACAGTTTGGTCTGTCTCAGGCTGTCGCTTAATGTCAACTATCCGTCAAGTTGGCTTGAGCTCTATCTCTTCCCCAGTACCTAAGACAAACCCAGATCGGAAATCTGAGCCCTTAATGGCTGGTGCAGCAACAATTCACTGGGATGAACATGGATACAGGTTGTATGCGGTGGAGGAAAAGTCTTCAGAGAGAATTCTTGCATTCTCCTTTGGTAAATGTTGTCTTAACAGAGGAGTTTCAGGCTCAACCTCTGTTCGTCAAGTGATCTATGGTGAAGATCGTGTTCTTCTTGTTCAGTCTGAGGAGACAGATGATCTTAAAATGTTGCACCTTAACCTTCCAGTTATGTGCTTTACTTGTCTTCTTTCTTGCCACTCATATTTTGTCTATGATGTGGCCCTTTCTGACATCGTGTTTGTCCAGGTCTCGTACATCTCTCAGAATTGGCCAGTTTTACATGTGGCAGCTAGCTTTGATGGAACATTCTTGGCAGTTGCTGGTCTTCATGGATTGATATTGTATGACGTACGTCTGAAAAAATGGCGATTCTTTGGAGATGTTACACAAGAACAGAAAATCGAATGCAAGGGTTTGTTGTGGCTGGGGAAAATTGTTGTTGTTTGCAATTATGTCAGCTCATCTAACACGTGAGATTTATCTCTATTCCTTTTAGATTCTGTTAGTGATTTATAACTGCCTATCCTCAAATAAGGAGAAACTTCGACTTAAGAATGGACAATAGAACAAAATCTAACGGCATATTTTCAAATAAGGAGAAACTTTGACTTAGAAATAGATAGTAGAAGAGAACTGTAGAACAAATTCTAACGAGATCCTGACTAGATTAAAGGACATAAATAAGTGTTTTAGGTCCTCATTAATTTACGTTCAATTGATATTCAGATTATTGGTGTGTACCTTGATGTAACTTGTGCAACCTATATTTGGCCCGCTGGTTTATTACCTAAAAAGTTTGAGTACATGGTTATGGATTACACTCAATCTCCTTGATCACGATGATTGATTAGGAATGATGTTTAAACTTTGGAATCTCTTGAATTGTGTAAACTAGTAAAGTCTGTCCATATTATTTCGGGTTGAATACCAACTTACTGAGGGATACTCCTTCCGCTCATTAAGATATTCTTATAATTGTATGCCATATCCTTTTTTCTGGAAATGCTATAATATGTCACAGTTGTATTTGCTTTGTTCTTTGTTTTCTCTTCTGTTGGATGCTGACATTGCTCTAGGCTGGTACTGGGAAATGCACAACACTTCTGAATTGGGTATCAGTAACTATGTAACTTCTCTTGAATTTGAGTTCATATGCAGAGTTATGTGACAGTCAAAATGATTATATCAGTAACTCTTAGCAGCTTATGTCACCCTAAGATATATTTACTAAATAATCCAGCGGGGTGATCTGTTGTCTATCTTCATGCTTGTCTGTGGAATCATGTATCGTATTCGTTTCGAATAATAGTAGTAAACAGTTTTTGTGGATTTATAAATTGCAGGTATGAGCTGCTATTTTATCCTAGATATCATCTTGATCAAAGTTCACTATTGTGTAAAAAAACGTTGCTGACAAAGCCGATAGTCATGGATGTTTATCAAGATTATATACTGGTTGCCTATCGCCCTTTTGATGTCCACATATACCATGTGAAATTATCTGGTGAATTGACCCCTATAAGTAATCCAAATTTACAGGTAAACCGTCTTCACTGTATACTCTTGTTCATAATTAGAATAATTATTCGCATATTACAGTCCTTTAGAATTCAAATTGTCTTCATGCAATTTCAAGTGATAAAATGACAAACAGCTTTCTACAGTACGTGAGCTCTCTATCATGACCGCAAAGAGCCCTCCGGCATCTATGCGCTTCATACCAGATCAATTTTATAAGGATTATAGTTCAGTAAAACACAAGTCATCGCAAGAGCCTGTGAGGTAAGTGTTGAAAAGCAAAATATTGATTATGCTTATGAGGAAAATACCATTAAAAGCAAAGTATCGCTTCAGTAAACAACGCTTATGGAAGTCCTTTCTGTTTGATAGATGTTTGATATTGCGTGCAAATGGGGAGATGTCCCTTCTAGATATGGATGATGGGCATGAATTGGAGTTAACAGATTCTGTTGAACTGTTTTGGGTTACATGTGGCCTATCAGATGACAAAGAAAATCTCATTGAAGAGATTACTTGGTTGGATTATGGTCATCGAGGAATGCAGGTGATAATTTCCCATTTTTGTGGTTCTTCTATTGAAGCTTTTCCTTTTTGATGACAACCTTTTTCCTAGCCTCCTAGGCCATTTTGGATTTCTGATAAAAGTATTTTGGAAGTTAACTTTTACAGGTCTGGTATCCATCTCCAGGTGTTGACCCTTTCAAACAGGAGGACTTCTTGCAGGTATTGACATATATTCTGATATAAGTTAAAAGGGGATGAATTGAATAATGAAAAAGTACATTGTGTCAGCTGTTGAGGTCACTGGTTGCATGAATGCTGTTTCTAAATGTTGCTCGTTTTACCTCTTATCGAGAATATCGACTACTGTTATGCCTACTGTGACAATGAATGAATATGCCTTCTATCCTCTTTCTTCTGTTAGCCAACATCAAATGAAAATGGAAGTCTTTTTATGCCTTCTCAACTTTGTATGTTACAGAAGTAGTCCTTGATTTATTGTAAAAAAAGGCTGTAGAAAAGAACTATGATGACGTTTCTAGATATTATCCAACAAGCAGGACCAGTATTGCAACACATGGCATAGGATAGGCTAAACAAATTGTGTAGTTTGAAGGTTGGACAATTGAGAGAGTATTAAATTTGTCGCTATCATCAACATCACATGTTCCTTTCATTTTTTGTTATATAGTCCATATTATTATGCCATTTTGTTACTTTGAATTCTTTTGTTTTCTGTTTTCTTTGTTTTAACATTTGGTTGAATTCACTTCATATTTAGACAGTATGAAATGAGAAATAATTTCGTATATTTTCTCTATGCTGTTGATGATAATGATTTCAATTTCTTTTTTTTAGCTGGATCCTGATCTTGAGTTTGATCGTGAAATTTATCCTCTGGGACTTCTTCCAAATGCTGGAGTAGTGGTTGGTGTTTGCCAGAGATTGTCATTTTCTACGTGTACGGAGTTTCCATGTTTTGAGCCGTCTCCCCAGGCACAAACTATATTACATTGTTTGTTGCGTCACCTCCTTCAGGTATCCCTTGCTTCTCTTCTTCAATTAGTTGGGGTGGACTTTTAGAGCCGATCTATATTTTGCGCTTATGAAATTATGGTCATATATAGAGATGTCAATACGGGTAAACGACTCGGGTTTTGGTCAAGTAAGAGTAGGTCAGGTCAACTCGGGTCGGATCAATTCAGATTAATTCCATAACCTATACAGGTCGGGTTTGGGTTGGGTCATGCTTGAGTCGGGTTACGTCGAGTCATACTTCTTTTCGGGTTTGGGTTAGGTTTAGGTCGGGTTACATTTGGTTCGGGTGAACAATAGATCGGGTTTAATTCAGGTTTTCACTGGTTAAAAAGGGTTATGGTAATTCTCGGGTTCGAGTCGGGTTTGGTTCGAGTCAATTTGCGGGTTAGAATCAGGTCGGGTCATTCTCGGGTTTCAGTCGAGTTCGGTTCAAGTCAATAATTTGCGGGTTATAATCACGTCGGGTCATTTTCAAGTCGGGTCATTCTCGGGTTCAAGTCGGGTTCGGTTCTAGTCAATAATTTGCGGGTTATAATAAGGTTGGGTCATTTCCAAGTCGGGTCATTCTCGGGTTCAAGTCGGGTTATGTTCAAGTTAATAATTTGCGGGTTACAATCAGGTCGGGTCATATTCGGGTTCAACTAACTATAATAAATAATTACCATTATTATCAAGTTAATTATTTCCCTATATATATGGCAATATAGGGAACTATAGTCTATAGTTTAGGAAGATAATTATCTCCTTTGACCATACAACAAATATATACTATATTTAACTCTTAAATTTGAGGATGATGCTCCTTTCTTTTGCTGGCCTAACCAACTTGGTCTCCTTAGACAAAATGCTTTGATCAACAATAATAAGGTGGTCTAAATTGCATTTAAGGTGATTTGAAATCGAGTCAGGAATAATTTGGGTTGAATTTAGGCCGGGTCAATTTGTAAACCGGTTGTAACAATAATAAGGTGGTCTAAATTTTTGACTTTTTTTCGCCCGGAATAAAAATTGCTGAAATGTTTATCATGGTCCCTAATACCCTAATACTCACCCAATTGGACTCCCGGAGGGTGTTAAGGACTATGATAAACATTTCGGCAATTTTTATTCCGAGTGAAAATAAGTCAAAAAAATTAAAAAATTGAAGGCTTATATCCACCTTTTTGTGAAATTTTGGAGTCTTCAGGCCCCGGTGTCTAACAGACTTGAAATTTTAAGGAATACATCTCGAGGTCATATAATGTCATTTGGAACCATATTTGATCATTGTTTGTTGTTATAAGTGTTCGTGGTAGGCTTGAAATAATGAAATCGGTGCATGTTATAAACCAGTATATTGGCCGTTTAAAGGCAAATTAGATGGTTCCACCCATCCAATTGGACTCTTGGAGGGTATTAGGGACCATGGTAAGCATTTCAACAATTTTTATTTCAGGGTGAAAAAAAGTATAAAAAAATCCACACATTTTTCGAAATTTTGGAGGTTTCGGACCCGGTGTCGAAAAGTTTGAAAATTTTAGGGGAACATCTCGGGGTCATATAATGCCGTTTGGAACCATTTTTATTCATTATATGTTGTCATAAATGTTCGTGGTAGGCTTGAGTTAATGAAATCACTGCAAGTTGTAAACCGGTAAATTGGCCATTTAAAGAAAAATTGGATAGTTCAACTCACCCAATAGGACTCCCGTAGGATATTACGGACCATGGTAAACATTTCGGCAATTTTTATTTCCGATCGAAAATAAGTCTAAAAATTCTAAAATTGAAGGCTAATATCCATGTTTTTTTGTGAAATTTTGGAGGTTTTGGAGTCTTGTGTCGAAAAGCCTTCGAGATTTTAGGAGATAAATCTAGGGGTCATATAATGTTATTTGGAACCATATATGATCATCATATGTTGTCATAAATGTTTGTGGCAGCCTTGAGTTAATGAAATCGGTGCAAGTTATAAACCGGTAAATTAGCCGTTTAAAGACGAATTGGATGGTTCCATCCATCTAATTGGACTCCCGGACGGTAGTAGGGACCATGGTAAACATTTCGGCAATTTTTATTTCCGGACGAAAAAAAGTAAAAAATTTCCAAAATTGAACGCTAATATCCATCTTTTTAAGAAATTTTGGAGTTTTTGGGGCTTGGTGTCTAAAAGTTTTGAAATTCTAAGGAATACATATCGGGGTCATATAATGTCGTTTGGAACCATAAGTGATCATTATTTTTGTCATAAATGCTCGTGGTAGGCTAGAGTTAATGAAATCGGTGCAAGTTGTAAACCAGTAAATTGGTCGTTTAAAAGCAAATTGGATGGTTCCACCCACCTTATTGGACTCCCGGAAGGTATTAGGGACCATGGTAAACATTTCAGCAATTTTTATTTCTGGTCGAAAAAAGTAAAAAAATTCCAAAATTGAAGGCTAATATCCACGCTTTTTGAGAAATTTCGCAGAGTTCGGGGACCGGTGTCGAAAAGATATGAGATTTTAGGTGATACATCTCAAGGTCATATAATGCCGTTTGAAAACATAAATGACCATTATATGTTGTCATAAATGTTCGTGGTAGGCTTGAGTTAATGAAATTAGTGCAAGTTGTAAAATGGTAAATTGGTCGTTTAAAGGCAAATTGGATGGTTCAACCAAACCAATTGGACTCTTGGAGGGTATTAAGGACCATCGTAAACATTTCGACAATTATTATATCCGGGAGAAAAAAAAGTCAAAAAATTCCAAAATTGAAGACTAATATCCACACTTTTTGAGAAATTTTGGAGGTTTCAAGGCCCGGTGTCGAAAAGCCTTGAAATTTTAGGTAACTTATCTCGGGGTCATATATGTCCGTTTATAACGATTTATGATCATTATTTGTTGTTATAAATGTTCGTGGTAGAATTGAGTTAATGAAATCGGTGCAAGTTGTGAACCGGTAAATTGGTCATTTAAAGGCAAATTGGATGGTTTCACCAACCATATTAGACTACCAAAGGGTATTAGGGACCATGGTAAATATTTCGGCAATTTTTATTTTCGGGTGAAAAAAAGAAAAAATTCCAAAATTGAAGGCTATTATCCACGCTTTTTGTGAAATTTGGTGTCGAAAAGTTTTGAGATTTTAGGGGATACATCTCGTGGTCATATAAAACTGTTTTAAACCATAATTAATCATTTTATGTTGTCATAAATGTTCATGATAGTCTTGAGTTAATAAAATCGGTGCAAGTTGTAAACCGGTAAATTCGCCATTTTAAGGCAAATTGGATGGTTCCACCCACCTAATTGGAGTCACGGAGGGTATTAGGGTCCATTGTAAACATTTCGGCAATTTTTATTTACAAGCGAAAATAAAACAAAAAATTCTAAAATTTAAGGCTAATGTCCACGTTTTTGAGAAATTTTGGAGGTTTGGAGGCTTGGTGTAGAAAATCTTTAAGATTTTAGGGAAGACATTTCGGGGTCATATAATGGCGTTTGGAACCATATATAATCGTTATATATTGTCATAAATGTTTGAGTTAGGCTTGAGTTAATGAGTTAGGCTTGAGGTAAATTGGCCGTTTAAAGGCAAGTTGGATGCTTCCACTCACCCAATTGGATCCTTAAGTGTATTAGAGACCATGGTAAATATTTCGGTAATTTTTATTTCCGCATGAAAAAAGTCTAAAAATTCCAAAATTAAAGACTAATCCACGCATTTTGCAAAATTTTGAAGGTTTCGAGACTCGGTGTCGAAAAATCTTGAAATTCTAGGCAATAAATCTCGGGGTCATATAATGTCGTTTGGAACCATATATGATCATTATATGTTGTCATAAATGTTCGTGGTAGGCTTGAGTTTGTAAAATCGGTTCAAATTGTATATCGGTAAATAACGGCAAATTTGGATGGTTCCACCCACCCAATTGGACTCTCAAAGGATATTAGGGACCATGGAATACATTTCGACAATTTTTATTTCCGGGCGAAAAAAGTAAAAAAAATTCCAAAATTGAAGGCTAATATCCACGATTTTTCAAAAAATTTTGAGATTTTGGGGCTCGGTAACTAAATGCTTTGTGATTTTAGCGGATATATATTTCAGGTTCATATAATGCCGTTTGAAACCATATATGTTCAATATATGTTGTCATCAATGTTCGTGGTAAACTTGAATTAAAAAAATTGGTGCAAGTTGTAAAACAGTAATTTGTATGTTTATAGGCAAATTGGATGGTTCCACCCACCCAATTGGACTCCTAAAGGGTATTATCGAATACTGTAAACATTTCGACAATTTTTATTTATGTGCGAAAAAAAGTCAAAAAATTCCAAACGGAAAGCTAATATCCACGCTTTTTTAGAAATTTTGGAGGTTACGGGGCCCAGTGTCGAAAAGTCTTTAGATTTTAGGGGATACATCTTGGTGTCATATAATGCCGTTTGGAACCATATATGATCGATATAAGTTGTTATAAATGTTCGTGGTAGGCTTGAGTTAATGAAATCGGTGCAAGTTGTAAAATGGTAAATTGGTCGTTTAAAGGCAAATTGGATGGTTCCACCAAACCAATTGGACTCCTGGAGGGTATTAAGGACCATCGTAAACATTTCGGCAATTATTATATCCGGGATAAAAAAAGTCAAAAAATTCCAAAATTGAAGGCTATTATCCACACTTTTTGAGAAATTTTGGAGGTTTCGGGGCCTATTGTCGAAAACACTTTAGATTTTACGAATACATTTCAGGGTCATATAATGCCGTTTGGAACCATATATGATCATTATATGTTGTCATAAATGTTCATGGTAGGCTTGAATTAATGAAATCAGTGAAAGTTGTAAATCAGTAAATTGGTTGTTTAAAGGCAAATTGGATGGTTCTATCTATCCAATAGGACTTTCGAAAGGTATTAGGGATCATGGTAAACATTTCGGCAATTTTTATTTGTAGGCTGTCAAAAAAATTCAAAAATTAAAGGATGATATCCATGCTTTTTGAGAAATTTTTGAGTCTTTGAGGCCCGG